ATATTATCACGGTCATATGGTACCTTGTATCGAACTAGTCCATAATTATCGGGTAGTATCGCTCGACCCGCACTTTATCCCAAATTGGCCATTTCAACGAAACTCGTTTTCTTTAATCTGTGTACCCTTTTATCCTTTATGACAATTATTTATCGTTTATTATAAATAGCGTAAGTAAGTTAACATCAAGATGATCTCATCCCCGGGTCTACGTCGGTTAACTGAAAATGAAATTATAAGGTATGAAAACGCGAGATGTAATAGTGTGGGGAGAGCAGGTTTGGAGTGGTTAACTAGGTTGTTTAATGTTATTTTTAAGTCGAAGAGGATGCCGGATGAGTGGAGGTAGAGTACAATGGTTCCATTGTATAAGAACAAAGGTGATATCCAGAGTTGTAACAATTATAGGGGTATCAAATTACCGAGTCATACCATGAAAGTGTGGGAGAGGGTGGTTGAAGCGAGGGTGAGGATGATAGTGTCTGTAACCGACAACTAGTTCGGGTTCATGACGGGTCGCTCTACTACAGAAGTTATACACCTTTTTAGGAGGTTAGTGGAACTGTACAGAGAGAGGAAGAAGTATCTGCACATAGTATTCATTAACCTAGATAAAGCGTATGACAAGGTTCCTAGAGAAGTTCTCTGGAGATGTTTGGAGGCAAAAGGTGTGTCGGTTCCTTATATTATAACGATTAAGGACATGTATGATGGGGCTAAGACTCGGGTTAGGACAGTAGGAGGTGACTCTGAGCATGTTCCGGTTGTAATGGGGTTACACCAAAGTTCTGTGCTCAGTCCGTTCTTATTCGCCCTGGTTATGGACGCGTTAACACACCATATTCAAGGGGAGGTGCCATGGTGCATGCTATTCGCTGATGACATAGTTCTGATTGATGAGTCGCGAGCCGGTGTTACCGAGAGGCTAGAGGTCTAGAGACAGGCTCTTGAGTCGAAGGGTTTCAAGCTGAGCAGGACGAAGACAGAATACCTGGAGTGTAAGTTCAGCACTAAGCCGGGGGAAGTGGGCGTGGATGTGAGGCTTGAATCACAGGTAATCCCAAGTAGAGGCATCTTCAAGTACCTTGGATCGGTTATCCAGGGGGAAGGAAGATCGACGAGGATGTCACACACCGTATTGGGGTAGGATGGGTGAAGTGGAGATTAGCATCTGGAGTCCTGTGCGACAAGAGAGTGCCACTGATACTTAAAGGTATGTTCTATAAAGCGGTGGTTAGACTGGCTATGATGTATGGGGCTGAGTGTTAGCCTGTTAAGAACTCACATATCCAGAAGATAAAAGTAGCAGAAATGAGGATGTTGAGGTGGATGTGCGGGCACACTAGGATAGATAAGATTAGGAATAATGATATTCGGGAGAAGGTGCACGTCGCTCCCATTGATGACAAGATGCGGGAAGCGGGGCTAAGATGGTTTGGGCATGTTCAGAGGAGAAGCCCAGATGCTCCAGTAAGGAGGTGTGAGTGGCTGGTTGTGGAGGGCACGAGAAGAGGTAGAGGGCGGCCTAAGAAGTACGGGGGAGAAGTGATCAGGTAGAATATGGCGAGGCTTCAGATTTTTGAGGACATGACACTTGATAGGAATATGTGGAGGTCGAGTATTAGGGTTGTAGGTTAGGAGGTAGTTGAGTCTTGCCTTACTTCGTGCCATTGTGAGACTAGTCTAGTAGAGTTTTTGTCTAAGATAGCCAGTGGCAATGTTATGTCTTAATGTTTCGCCTTTCAGTGCATGACCTATTTACTAGCTATCGTTTTTGCTTTGCATATTTCTTCTGGATTTCATGTTGTTCCTATTTTTCCTATAATTTATGTGGTGATACTAATATTGTCTCATTTTGTCTTTTTGCTTTGTTGTGTCGAGGGTCTTTCGGAAACAGCCTCTCTACTCCTTCGGAGTAGGGATAAGATTTGCGTACACTCTACCCTCCCCAGACCCCATTAATAAAAATTTACTGGGTTGTTGTTGTTGTTGTTTGTTGTAACTTAAAATAAATAAAGAAAAACTGATTTCACATAATTAGTTCCATTTGGATAAAAGTGATTCGAAATTTATTAGTTGCATCTCGAGACTGAAGCAAAGTTATTGTTGAGAATAACATTAGTTGCAACTTCCAATATGAGGCATCTAAAGAAAATGAATTTAATATTTTCAAAAAAATAATGTCATTAGATCTTCCTATTTTAGTTGAACAAAATAGATTTAAAAATTTATCTCCATGTTCTTATCTTGGTATGATCTCATCTACAATGCAATTATCTTTATTTTAGTAATTCTCATATTAGGTAGGTAGCTCATATCCTGGATATGGTTTGAGGGTTAAGAGACTTCTTTATTGTTAAATTCACATAATTTCCTTTTTCTTGTTGCTTTCCTTATAATGGTTCAACCAACTGAGTGTCGTTGTAGGATGGATAGGGCCCTTCATCTTAATAAGAGCTTTCGAGATCAAGCCTAAAGAATAGAAGAAAAAAATTTAGTAAGGAGCGCTTCCTCTTTTAGTGAACTTTATGCAGTGCGAATCGAATTTGTCGAGACCCTAAAATGGATAATGGACTCCAAGGGGGGAAAAAAGATCAGTGGTCACCAAAATCTTTTCTTGATTTGATTTTAATTAACTTTATATATATATATATATATATATATATATATATATATCCAAATTGTAAATGAGAAAATGAAAAAAAAGTGGTAGGAACATGGAACATGGGAAGTAGTGGCTAAGGTTATCCTTTATTCGTTTACATTGACTTCAACTTCTATTACTTCTCAACGTCGCTATTGTAGTTTATTGATAAAATCCTATGTTATGCATTAATTATATCTAGTGTTGTTCTACGAAGTTATTTTGTCAAACATCCAACCGTTGACATCAATTAATCGAAAAATAGCCAACGTTTGCAAAGTTATTGAAAAATAACCACTATTTTATGAGGAAATAAAATATGAACAAAAATATCCTCACTAAAACACGAAAAGCTCCAGCATAATATGCTGGATTATGGAGCTCATGCGTATAAACTTCCAGCATATTATGTTGGAACGTCAGTACATTATGCTGGAATCTCATATGTAAAAAATTCGAACTCCAGCATATTATGCTGGAATATTTTTGGATTTTTAAGTGTGTTTTTGTTCAAATTTTATCTTTACATGAAAAAGTGCCTAAATTTCGATTACTTTTAAAACTATTGCTATTTTTCAAATAACACTTGTAAATCAGGCTATTTCTGTTTTTTGTTTCCTTATCAATGTTGTTTTGTATATTAGAATGCCATGTCAATTTCGTGTTTTTTGCAAGAGGATAGAAATTTGTCACACTCGAGTCTTATAAATCTCACATTTTAATTACAAAGCTTTATCTGTAAATGTTCTTTGGTTACGACTTCGCTGGCTGCTACTAACGGTGTCTCGGTTGATTTTTCTTTTTTTAGCTACTAAGATATTTTAGTTCGCTAAGTATCGAAGATCCATGAATCACATATGGTATCTCCCTATGGCCCGGTAGTATAAAAAGTTACTTATATACTGACGCTTATATAAGTTAAATTCTTTCAATAATTGCTCTCACAAAGTAAGTATTTAAACAACCAAACTACATCAGTGTGTGGTTACTGCTCATAACTCTTCAAAAAATGTAGAAGAGGAGGAAATTAATTAAAAAAGGAAAAGAATTAAAGTTTCTAAATTTCACAACAAATAATTAGTTAAATTAAGATCTCCTGAGTCCGTTGTACACCCAAATCACTCGATATCCTATTACACAACTGCACACAAAAAAAATATTCTAGTTAGTTTCACATGTTTAATTTGAATGCATTACAACTTTATTTCAACAAGGTACGTAGATGAGAATATCGATGTATATATACCTGTCTATATACTGTTGAATCCCCTGAAGACTTTTGTAACTCTACGACATACAAGGATGGGCTAATCTCGAATACCTGCAAATTGTGCATCGAGAAAAAATTATTAAATATTTTTTTATAACGTCAGTGTATAAAAATTAAACTACAGACTACGTAAAGTAAAATGTTATGTACGTACCTCTGCGACTACTGAGAGAGTAGTCGGGCATTTTTGTCCTCTGTACTCTTGTAACACTTTCAACTGCAATATATGTGAATGACGAACGTATATAAGACATTTGTGTATCAATTTTACGTGTCTGAAAATTTAATTATAGGACATGTAAATTAACTCAATTTACATATTCGCTTAGATACCCTTCAAAATATTAGCTGGCAGATGTATATTAATATACATAAAATATATATATTTTATACATAATCAGTGTATATTTTGTATATATTTGGTTAGCGGTTGTAATTATTATTCGAAAAGCCCATGCAAATACAGACAGTTATATACTAACCCTTCCATATCTTTTTTGGACTTGAAATCCCATTTGGGTTACTGTATTCTCAACCCTGTCCAGCAACTGTTTTGGTAAGAGATTTGATGTAAATCTGCTCTTCCTCTCAGAAATGTCCTAAAATAATTCAAAATAAAATATAAGTCTAGGCTTTATTATTTGTTTCATTGCATTATAACATGGTAAATAATTAAAATTAGAAGTTACCTCTTTCTCAAAAAATCCAGAAAGATCTAGGCATGATGACATCCCTATAAGTTGTAAGGCATTGATAAGGGAATGCGATTCTCGATCTCTTTGCGCGTCAAGCGGCTGTAAAATAAGTCATACACATTTGTGCCGTTATAAATCATTTCATTAAAGATAAAATAAAAAGTTTAAAGTAGTTGAATTATTTCTAAAAAAAGGCACAAAGCATCTTGCCTTCATGCATGGTTCGGGGAATGATCGCACCCCAAGGAAGTGTAATGTAGGCCCGCAAGACTTTCAAAAGTGTCATCAGAGTCTAAGGTCTGTCTATTTATATACCCAGTATCTTTCTCGTATTTTATCGATGTGGGATTGGCAAGACTCAATATTTCAACAAGGGCACGAAATAATGCAAGAATCAACTACCTCCTAATCTACAACCTTAATACTCGACCTCCACGTCTTCCTATCAAATGTCATGTCCTCGGAAATCTGAAGTCTCGCCATATCCTGCATGATCACCTCTCTGCAGTAGGTAGCCTCGTCATATCTTGTGTGATCACCTATCCCAATAGGGTGAAAATTACGTATTACGAAATAGTAAAGGAAGATTTGACAATGTTTTGCAAAATCTAGGGTGCAAAATGTCAAAAAATTAAGTAGCTCAAATTGCATTCACCTCCCATGGTATTTGGAAAGGGACACAATTGGTAGAACCCTTCAAATGCAGATTACTACCCTTCATCTTTTCTCTCTGCGCCGTGAGAACAGATTTTATACTTAAAAAGAAGCAAAAGAGAAATTAAAAGAATGCCCCATCTTTAACAGGTAATTTCATTTTCTTCTTTGATTATACCTACCATTATTTACTTGTTATTTCCTCCATCCCAATTTGTATGTGATCGTGTGTTCCAAAAAGAATAGAGTAATTTTTTTCTATAAAAAAAAAGATAATCGTGCACAAGTCATTCCGCGTTCAAGCATGCATACTATAATGCAAGCATGCATTAGTGACCGCTTCCACGGCTCGAACTCACACATATATAATTTTACCGTTGCTCCAATTAGAGGCAGATCTAGGATTTAAATTCTGTGGGTAACTTTAAAAAAATTTAACATTGAATCCATTAGATTTTTAAAGTTATGGGTTCCTATTTTTAAAATTTTAATTAATTTTTACGCATAAATTTTTACTCTGCATTGGAAGTTATGGGTTCAGTTGAACCTGTAACTGTCATATTGCATCCACCCCGGCTCCAATGCCCCCTTCAATTTTTTCCTACATTTAAAAATAATTTAATTTTAAGCTTCTTATTTTATGTTTAATGAGATTATTTATAGCCACACTGAATTCACATACTCTTATCACTAAATCATAGTTGTTAATTAATGCACTTCTCATCACTAGCTTCTTACTTTAGAACATAAGTTTCAAAAGTCATTCTTTACTTGTTAAACTCCGTGCCTAATCAAACACTATACATAAAGTGGAGTTGTTATTAACATTCTAAATATTTCAACTTTGATCTTTTGTGCAGGTTGATATTTTTGTCATGCAATTATTTCTTAGCTAGTATACTAGTATAGGATTTGCAACATCAGGGGCTCGTGTCAGCACGATTAGTTCGACACAATTTGTTAGACATTTTATGTTGCACTTATGATGGTGTAAATGAAGCAGTGAGGATTCATACATCTGACTCAAAAACTTGTTTGAGTCTAAGGCGTAGTTATTGTTGTTGTTGTTTATGTCGCCCTCGTGATGGCTACAAAGAAAATCATTGCAATATGCCAATCTGGTGGAGAATTTGTGACCAATGAGGAAAATGGGACGTTGAGTTATACAGGAGGTGATGCATATGCTGTAGATATTGATGAGAAGATGAATGTGAATGTTTTAAAGCAAGAATTAGCTGATACATTTCAGTTTAATATCGAGGAGATTACTATAAAGTATTTTCTACCAGGGAATAAAAAGACACTGATCACAGTATCCAAAGATAAGGACCTAAAGCGCATGGTCAACTTTTTTAAAGATTCTGAGCAGGTGGAAGTCTTTGTTGTTGCAGAAGAAGCTGTTGTTGCACCACTCAATGTTTCTGATTTGCCTGCCAGTAGGTATTTTCTTTTCTTGATGTCAAGTGTAGTTTCTTTCTTTTGTACTCTCACTTGCACCGTTGAATACATAAATATGATATTAAGCTATATATACTGTCAGTATAACGAAGTTTTACACTATCAGGTCACCTTTATCTATTGTAGTAGGTAAGTTGCGAATTCAAATTTTAAGGAAGCTTACATGTTTTTATCATTTGGATGACCTGATAGTATAAAGAATTACAGTGACGGTGTATATAACTTAAAATCTAAATAGATATTCCCTTTGTCCTTTTTTACGTGGTACTTTTGCCCTTTTAGTCTATTACAAGAAGAATGACATTTAGAAACAGTTTAACTTACTTTCCATTTTACCCGTAATGAGTTGATTTACTGTCACAAAAATGTCTATGATTTAATTTATACAAGTTTTAAAATCTTTCTTAAACTCCATGCTTAATCAAAGAACAACACATAAATTGGGAAGGATGGAGTAATAGTGTTCTCTAACTAACCGTTTAAGATTTTAAGATTAGCGAATAGGGGTTCTCAAGCTTAGAAGAGGAGATAGTTTCACTATCATTAAATTGTGTGGCAAAGTAAGTAAGCAGTGCTAAAGCAAAGCACAAGGTTTGAATTATAAAAGATAGAAGGTTTAATGATATTAGAACAGACAAATTTTTCAATTATCATTGTTATCCATCAGCAAAAATAGTTTCACGATCTCTGTCCAATTAAAAGAGTCAAGCCTTCACGTGAGGAGGCATGTTGCAGATGTAAATAAATAAAATTGTTCCCTATCGAACAACTTAAGCTTTTAGATGAGGTAGTTAGACATTTCAACACACTTATCTTGATTATGATTATTTTCCTTTTCCTTCTCCTTTTTCCTTCAAATAGTTAACCTTGAATTCCAAAATTTTCAGTTCAATGCTGGTGTTATTCGTTTCTTGAACTCAACATGTGACAACCAGGACTTATCTTTACTGCACTCTGATTGCTAATGCATCTATCGCCTGCTGAATTATTCAGGTCCAGCAAGACAACTATGTCTGAGACAGCACTTTCTCCTTCTACCCCTGTGGATATGACACATCCCGACGATCAACTTATGATTGATACGCCCATGGATACGACACCATTAAGTACTTTTCCGAGTAGCAATGACGACAAGCACCGTAGGGCAGCTACACAGTGGGAGGACTCCATTACTGGTGTGGACCAAAGATTCAGTAGTTTTACTGAATTTCATGAAGCCTTACATAAGTACTCGATTGCGCATGGATTTACATATAAATATAAGAAGAATGATAGTCACAGAGTAACGGTTAAATGCAAGTCTGAGGGTTGTCCTTGGCGTATATATGCGTCAAGGTTGGCTACTACCCAGCTGATATGTGTTAAGAAAATGAATAAAAACCATACATGCGAAGGAGCTGCCGTGAAAGCCGGATATCGAGCAACAAGGGGATGGGTGGGAAGTATAATTAAGGAAAAGTTGAAGTCTTCTCTTAATTACAAGCCAAAGGATATCGCCATTGACATCAAAGTGAATATGGCATTCAGTTGAACTATTCTCAGGCATGGCGTGCAAAAGAGATTGCAGGAGAGCAACTTCAGGGTTCTTATGAAGAAGCATACAGCCAAGTACCTTTACTCTGTGAGAGTATCATGGAAACTAATGCCGGTAGTCTTGCTACATTTGCCACGAAGGAGGACTCGAGTTTCCACCGGCTATTTGTCTCGTTTCATGCTTCAATATATGGTTTTCAACAAGGCTGCCGCCCTCTTCTTTTCCTTGATAGCACTGTTCTCTATGCAAAATATCAAGGAACCCTATTGGCTGCTGTGGGTGCAGATGCGAATGATGGTGTCTTTCCAGTAGCCTTTGCAGTTGTAGATGAGGAGACAGACGACAACTGTCATTGGTTTCTTTCTGAACTTAAATCTGCTGTCTCAACCTCTCACCAATAACATTTGTTTCTGATTTCCAAAATGGTATAAAAGAGTCATTATGTGATATATTCAGCAAAGATTGCTACCATGGTTATAGTCTTCGGTACCTCGTCTTATGATCCAAGATCTATATGTTGCTGCTTTTGCTCCAAAACTGAACGATTTTGAGCGCTGTGTTGAGAACATAAAGGCCATCTCGCCTGATGCTTGCAGTTGGGTCGTACAAAGTGAGCCTGATCATTGGGCAAACGCCTTTTTCGGTGGGGCAAGGTATAACCACATGACTTCTAACTTTGGACAACTTTTTCGTGATTGGGTATCCGATGTAAGTGAGCTTCCAATTACTCAGATGATTGATGCCTTGCGTGGGAAGATGATGGAATTGATTTATACAAGGCGTGTTGATTCTAGTCAGTGGCTTACAAGATTGACGCCTTCTATGGAAGTAAAGCTTCAGAATGAGACGTTAAAGGCAAGATCACTTCAAGTATTGCACTCACATGGGAGCACATTTGAGGTTCGTGGCGAAGCTGTTGATATAGTTGATATTGACAATTGGGACTGTAGTTGCAAAACCTGGCAGCTCAGTGGTTTGCCGTGCTGCCATGCTATTGCTATTCTCGAATGTCTGGGAAGGAGCCCGTATGATTATTGCTCCAGATATTTCACAACTGAGAGCTACTGTTTGACATACTCAGAATCAATCAACCCAGTGCTACCTCTTCTGGAAAAGTCCGTAAAAGGTGAAGTAGATATGGCAATCATTGTGAGTCCTCCTCCAACAAAATGTCCACCTGGCCGACCAAAGATGAAACAACCGGACTCGGTTGAGATAATTAAATGTCAACTTCAGTGTAGCAAATGCAAGGGCCTCGGCCACAATAAGAAGACATGCGAGTAGGTGCCTCTGACACTTCTCTGGCTTGTAACTTTGGAAATTATGTTTCTTCTAGACTAGCTTATTTTATTGGTACTTGTCAATTTGCTTACTTTAAGATCTTTTCTTTTACTTGTGCACTGCTATATCTCGGCCCCGTTGTTGCCTTTTTATTTCTTCTGTTTGTCCTTCCAAAAAAAAAGGTGAAAAATCATGCCTATGTCATTTGCTACTGCACTTACAGCCATATTTGGTTTGGATATAACTTGTTTCATACGATTTAATCAGTCTTTTTTTATTTAATCAAATTATAAATTATGGTTATTGTTTGCGAGAGAATCACTTTCTGAACTGATGAACGTGCACAACTCTTTTTTATTTTAGTTACATTCTCTCTGGGGAGGTGATGGTTTGAAACATGCACAACTCTTTTGCTTGTCGAAGATGAACGTGCTGTCCAAACTTCCCTGATTGCTGAACTGCTTTAAATAGATAATGATGTGCATTCTATGGCAGTCTATGACCCAGTGTCGTTGTTTTTGATTTTTAGTTTCTCGGGAAGCAGGAAGGCAAATAA